AAGGATAATGCCAGTGAAAACAGCTGGAGTGTTTTCCATAAGAGGAGCAACTTTGTCACACAAACAAATCCCCTACTGCTCTCTTTGCTGACATCAGCCAACTCACCAACATAACAACAAAGACTGCATATTTGATGAAACATTCAAGTCTCAGACAAAAAAAACAAGTTTGCACAGTAGGAGAGAGCTGAACTACCTCAAGTGGCCTCACTTTTACAGCACAGAAAAGAAACATACAAAAAGTCAGTATACATGAGATGAGGCCTTGTATCTCCTTACCTTCTGGTTACTTGTTCATGTGCTTATGCTGAAAGTTAGCCTTAAAAGATTCATTTTTTCACAGAATTCAGATGAAATATTTCTTGCCTCAGTGAACTTTGAATGAGGAGCGTTTGTCACATCCTAATCTGCCAGTTCCTCACCCGTAAAGGCTTGTGCAGAGCAGAAAAGGGCCATTGGAACCTACATAATTGATAACTTCCCCAGTGTCAGAGAAGTTAGTGAGAAGTTCTACTTGGATGGAGATAGTAAATACATTTCAAAGTTGTTATAACTGCCCCTAAGTGAAGAATCAGAATATGCAGTTAAATAAAATCTAGCAGTTAAGACATATTGTTTTGCCAGTATGAAGTGGAAACACAGAAAAAATTACTTTTAGAAATATTCAAATATCGGTCCTTGAGAGATTTCAGTGCATCTGAAGGAGGGGAAGGTACAGGAGCTTGAGAAGACAGTTTACCCTGTTAGGATGTACTGTTTGAGAAGCCTCCTGCTTTAAAATTTTCACACACTGGCAATCAGAATATAGCAGTCTTTATCAAACCAAGGACCATGCACTAGTTACAGGTGTTTGAAAAAAAATGAAGCATAGCTGTCGTGAAGAGTATTGATTTTGCTATGCAGGGATGTAGTAGAAAATGTATATGTGTGCAAATCATGAAAAACAGAAGATCAAAAATCACTGCCCTGCTTTATTTAGCAGACAAACTTAAATTATACCTCACACAAGTGAGGTCAGTAATGGCATATATGAGGCAAATGATGCAGAGCTGATTGATGAGTCCCGGAGGAATATTTGGCTTTTGCAAAGGTGCAGAACAGAGAATGGTGATTCACTTACTTTTTCACTGTATTGAAGTCTGTCCCTATGGCAAGTGGTTTCCTTTAGGGCAAGTTATCATCTTTTAGAAGATTTTAGGCTGGGAGTTCTGCTGCCCCAGGATTTCTCCTTCGCAGCAGTGACAGACATGAGGCTTACAGCTGCCTCTTTGAAGTGATTTGTAATTGTCATGCTTACTTTTTTTTGTCTTATTAAAGTTTCAAGGTGAAATTTCTTACATTATTGTATTGCTTATTGAAGCCACAAAAAAGCAGAAATTTTATTTGCAAGGGCAGAGCTTAACATGTTGTAGATGCAAATAAAATCCAGTTTCTCAGGGTCAAGTCCAGGCACTTTGAAAATCTGTAACTAGGTCCCTCTTTTAGGGCTTTTACATCAAACATCATCCAAAGTGTGGAAGTCAGTGCTTTTTCAGGTATTTTCCTGGCAGTGGCAAATATGCATGGAAAGCGGAGGTGACACTGTCTATTCAGAAACAAGTTATGAATATTCAGCAAGATTTTTTTTCTTCTTCTTTGTTGCTTTGGTATAAACTTATTCCTTTAAGCAATGAGCAAGTCTAAACAATTGCAACAGAGAAGAGAATTTGATATTTCCAGGCTTGAATTTATTTCCAACAAAGTACAGAAGTTTTGGGCTGCCCTTGTCTTTTTTGTAATTTAATGTCTACAGAAAAATGCTATTTAATACTTGAAACTTGTGTTTTCTTTAACCATCTGTCACTGAATTTGCCTGATAAGGCTTCCAAAATTGCATGTTTAACTCTACCAGCTCCTCCATTACTGGGCAGTGATCAGCCCCCCCCCCCAGTTTCAGTTTTCAGAAGCACCAGATGTGCATAGTGCTAAGTGGGAGTAGCAGATGCTTAGCAGTTCTGTAGCATCAGAACCAAAGCAAGACTGCAGAGCACTCAGGTATGTCTCTTGCTGGCCATAAATCCAAATAGAAAAATCTGACTGCAACTGCAAGATTAGATTGTTTGCCTACTCTTCAAGCAAAAGCTTCTGAGACTATGTAACAGTTTTGCAACTGTTTGTTAAAATGAATGCTAGGGAAAACCTTTCAAAGGAGTGTTTGATATTGTCTAGTTGTGTATATACTGTATTTGCTACCATCTTTTGTGCTACCCAATAAAACCAGTTTTTAATCTTTCACATGAACTGTGTAAAAACAGGATCTGATCATTGTCTTCTGGAAACTGCTGAAAACTCTTGTGTCAACAACTTAATCTTGGGAAGTAAAGCCTATTCTCAAGGTATAAAAGATAGCTTGATTGGTGCAAGTTCCAACATTACATAAAAATGAAGTGTGAAGGGAGTGTGACCATAAGAAATTTCAAGGCTGAAGTAGGAACTTAAATGCATAGATTGCCTCAGTTACCATACCCCCATCATAACGTCAGATCTCAGGACTTGCAGTGTCCTTGCTGGAAGGAGGTTCACTGGTGTGTGAAGGACAATATCCTTGCAGGGTTCCTCCTGCTGTTGCACAGTTGTAGGCTTTCTGCCAGCACTGAAGAACCTTCAGAGGACAAAACAACAGTCCTTTTCATTTGTAAACAGCTTTTTCTTTCTCTAGTTAGTGGAAAGTTTGTGCAGGACAGAAATTATGACTTGGGACCTATACATGCACTTAAACCCAGGAATAATAGACTGGTTCTCATCAGCCAGCTCAAACAGCAGACAGAAGTGTGTCTGCCTCTAGACACACCCTAGATGTTTTATGTTGAACTCAATGGAGTAACAAGAGAAGTGTAAATCAGATCATAGTACACTCGTAGCTGCCTGCCCTACCCTACCTCATCGTTCACATTTCCTGCAGTCGGTGGAGACAAATGGATATAAGCTAACTCCCATCTGTTTATTCACTCACCAAAAGGGAATGTGTTCACCCAGTTCCTCCAAGATCAAAGCAGATTCCTGGCGCATAGGTAACTCAGTGGTGTATTCTCCCAGCATCACCACTATCCTCTTACGAACCTGGAGGCACAACATTGTGTGGCTGAGGAGGGATTTCACTGCCTAACTCATCTGGGCAGACTATACCAAGCACAATAGGGATGCACTTTGTGCTAGAACTCCCATCTGCTCTGGTCATACAGTTATAACTGTAGACATTAAAAATTCCACTTCTCTAGGACTGGTAGTATTGGTCTGAATGTCCTGGCCAAAGGCCAGGCTCCTTCAACTAAGGGTTAGTGTTGTCTAATCACTTGTGATACAAGTCCTAAGTTCACAGATCTCCACCCCAATACTTCCTCATGGGAGAGGGGGTAAGTGATGAACATTCAATCAATGCACTGACCTTGCACTTAGTCCAGCACGAAAGGCTGATATTTTTTTCAAAACTCAATAGTTTCTATCTATCTATGGTTTTTTGTTTGCATTGCCTGCTACTGCACTTCTGTTTCTGTCATTACCTTTAGATGGCAGTTCACCATCTTATTACCCATCAGGGTAGCTTTCCCTAGACCAGAAGAGCAAGGAACACCTTTATTCAGCACTGGCTGAGAACCTTAGGAGTCACACCTGGAAATCCTGGAAAATACAAGTCTGAGAGACTTCCCTGCATCCCTGGGATATTCTCTGTGGCCTTGGAGAAGAGTCTTTAGTCAGTGGTTTTTATGCTCCTTCCAACAGATGCAGTAGATAATCATTGGATACTGTAGATAAGATATTGTGCAAGCATCTTGCAGAATCTGTTTTATAGTGTAGTGCTCTGAAGGTCTTCACTCAGTATCAGCCTTGTGCCACACACCTTCTGAAAGCCTCAGGAGCGGGGGCTGTTCAGGTTGGTCTTCCCTCTATGCTTGGTAATCATGACGTGTAAAAATTTGTGTTGCAGGCAAACTGCTGGGTCAGTGTGCTGGGGGTGTTTCTGGACTGGTACTTTTATTCACAGGAACCATTCAAAGTGAATGTGATTTTACTAAGAGCAGTGGGAAATACATGTAAAAAATGCTGACTCAGGTTGCCCTTTTTCTACATGTAGTTGTTGAGATATTCTTTTGGTTCTCTCTATATCTATGAAATTCTTGGCCATAAAACTTGTCAGTTCTGTATCTTTCAGTTCTATACCTCTTCAATACTGGAGGCTGGATTATGAAGGCAGTGGGGAGTAAATTACTGCTTATGCCATTAGAAATGCAAGTAACTGTTCATTTAAAGCAATGTCCCAGTGTTATTGAAAGGAACATCTGCTTTATTGCATTTGTGATTCAGGGGCTAGTTAGAAATACTCTGTGCAGACTTTTGAGTATTGAGATGTACCAGAAATAACCAGCCAGCAAGGATCACACTATCAGCCCCATCTCAAAGTTGTTGTTCAAGAGGATTTCTTAGCTTCAGAATTTAAATAGAAATGTTACTGGGAGAGGTATGTTGTGTATGCCCAGGCCCTGCAGGCACCCACAAGCCTTCTTTGCTTTGTGCAGCCTCACCTGCAGCCTCCACCCCCATACCCCTTGCCCACGGTCCACAAACCCTCTTCAGCTCAGCCCAGGCCCCTGCACCCTGGGGAGCCTTGCTGCAAGTAGCTCTGCCAAACCCACTCTCCAGTCCTGTTTCTGGCTGGAGCTACCTCACAGTCATGCCTGTGCCCTGCCCCGTGCCTTGCTGCCCTCACTCGCTGGCTGGACTTCCCAGGTGAAACCCAGACCTGCCCTGTCACCATGCATTTCTCTGATGATCAGCACTGTCAGGGGACCTGTCCCTGTCACCACCCCTGCCCTGCTCCCCCTGCTTGGTGCTAAGGAGGGACACTGCCCTGCCTGTGCAGGGGCCACCCTTGGCTGCTGTCTCACCGCCCCTCGGTGAGCAGCCCCACTCTTCCTGCTCCCCAACAGGACAGCAGGTAACAAAAAGCAGTTCCAGAAGTGTTTTTTTTTAAAAACATTTATTGACAAATGCCATGTTAGGTATTCCCTTGAAAATTCAAATATCAATACTGTATTGCACACAGTTTACAAAAACCCCAACATTTTCATGTGTTTTTCAGGAAAAACTCACTACTCGATACTACCATTTTCTTTTTTCATTAGCTGAGTGGCAACTTCAAGACCAAGAGGTCTGGTTTCTGTGCTTAAGGATAGGATCAGAAGTGTACTTTTAGCAGGCCCCTGGAAAGAAAGAAAAGTAAACTTTAGTCCTTGTAAGTAAATTTGCAAAATGCCTTAACAGCCTTTTAGTCTTCAGTGAAGCTGTAGCTACAACTGTCCTAGGGTACTTCTGAATCACAGTACAAGATTAGGGTGGGGGGGTGCAAAAGTTGCCGTTTTCATTGCTCTGTGTCTGTTGGCATAGCACTTGCGCAGCCTTTGCTAGTCCCAGCTAGCCATCAGTTTTCAGCTTAGGTGAGCACCCAGGCATGAGCCCACAAACCAGCTACCCTCCCTCTGCTACAATAAGCAATACGGAGGGGCACAGGTCAGGGATGCCCATAGCTGTCCCATAACCATGGATGATGCCAGCACCTCGTCTGTAGTGGAGGACTGGCTTACACCATGATGGAAGGGTTTAGCTGCTATTTCTTGTCCAGCAGTGCAGAACACGTGTGTTACTGTGGCAAACCCCCAGTCCAGGTCCTCAGGTAAAGGGACAACCTCCAAGCAAGACAGTGTGCCTGTGAAGGGTGTGGGCACTCAGCTGCCAACAAAGAGGAATTTCTGCCTCCAGTATAGCGCTAAAAAACTATCTGCCTATCTCACGGACAGCAAATGAGCTAGAAGATCAGCTCCCATGCCTCGAGAAAAAAAGTTCTCTCACGATACGCTTTAGATGTGCTCGTTTGCGTGTATGTAGCGCAACTGCTGACTCCCACTGCCAGCAGACACAGTCAGAGCTGCTGCTGAGAGCCCCTCGTCTCTGCTACTCAGACCACACTGGACACAAATCATGGTGGAGCTAAGAAGAATGAGGGTGCTCCTTCCTGGAGGCAGCTTCTCCTCTTTTCCTGGAGGGCAGTGCACAGACCTAAGGTAAGATGCTGTTATCCAGGTGGCCAAAACAAGCATTTCCAAGTGCAGAAACACCAGGTTGATACACCCATCCCTATCCTATCTATTAGAGTAACAAAGCTGATCTTCCTTTGGTAGTGTACCAGTTTCAGCACACAGGATTCCTCTAAGAGCAAACTTAAGGCTGCAGAACCACCCTGTAACAGGCTGTCTCCCTTGCATGGACTTCCCTTTGTAGCTATTTTCTTACTAGATATAACAGTAAAAAAAAGTTGCTAAAAGAGTACAACTTAGTTTGCTACTGTTCCGTCGCATTTACAGTAAATGCCATCACCTACTCTACAAGCTGCCAGCACAGCCATTTCAGCGAGTCTGCTAATTAGCCCAAAGTACCTGACTGAAGCACGGGCTGGAACTGGCCAGACATGCAGATTTCTTCCTGCTTCTGGCGCACAATGCGCTGAATGGCTGGGGGGAGGCCACGGGGATTGCGTGAGAAGATCAGGGAGTAGCCATCATCACAGGAGCCGTCCTCCTTTAGACTGCGGCAGGCATAGGTAATGGCATAGTTATCATAGTCAGTGTCAATCACCCAGTAGTTGTCCCCTGAAACATCAGAACACACGTGTATGTCACAGTGGGCAAAACAGCAGAGGAGGACCTAGTCATCCCACAGGGAGATGCCTCACTTCAGCACATGGCAGGGGTAGCTTCTCAAAGGATCTAAAGTCACCTCCCACATCCTGCTTATCTCCACACAATGAAGTGAAGAACTTGGACAAGCACAGCACATCTTGAGACCATGTTGTTCCCTATGATGTTCTGTGTATTTTCACCTTTGGTTTCTTAGGCTAGAAGTGTTAGGAGGACTAGGACTTTCCAGATTTTCAATGACAAAAAATTGCTTTATGTTTCTTGCTCAAGCATGGTGGGGCGGGGCGTAAGATTAAATTTTGGCCATACAGATTACATTTCCTATACATGCCTTCTGTTTTCCAGCCTTGCTCAACTACGTGCATTTTGGTGTGGCTTATCTGCCAGTACTAAGTGAATGTACTTCTTTCTTACGCATTAGCAGGCCAAGTCTTGTCCAACTTCCACAGCTGGAGTCCCACAGCTATGGGAGAATCAGGCTCAAAGTACGGGGCGTACAGGGTGCATAACTGATGTGCAGTATGAGAAGTTTCTGCAAGGGGGACTTCAGTTAACAGCTCCATTCTGTCGAGTCCAGCTGTATCTGTGTGAGGAGAACCGTGCCTTGCTGCTGGAGTGCAGATGTGGGTCCACATGTCTCCTCCCATTAGCTATGGGGAGTACAAGGACAACTGACACTCAGCACCTTTATAATGCCCACTGGGGGGCCCAGGAAGTATTGCTTCCCTAGGTTCAGCACCCCACTTGGATGTAGAAAATCTGTGTCTGTGTCCCATTGCCTCTAAGCTGCATCCTCCCTGTTGATATGTATTGGTGTATAGGTGGGATCTCCAGGGAGTCTCTGGATCCTGCCTCTTCTGTGGAGATAAAAAGCACTGCTTGGATAAAGCGTCCCCCCAAAAAAGGGTGCTTTGTCTCCACTTGGAGCAATCTGAGCTCAACTGTTTTTCCTGCTCATATCATTTTCCTGCTCAATCACACAAATCCGGGCAGCTGTAAGCTATCAGCCAGCACTGGGGGGGCTGGAGAAGTTCACTCACCACCGCTGGAGAGGTAGCTGGCCAGGCCCTGGTAGGTCATGTACATTTTTGCTGGAGTGGTTGGGTCAGGTACTGTGTACTGAGCAGCCATGTCGGCACAGATGACCCAGAACCTGCAACGAGATCCATGAGACTGAAGGTAAAACCCTGTATCATGTGAGCTTCAAATGGGTGTCACTTGCTCAGGACTCGGGCAAGAACCAGGCTATGGTTCAGCACAACTGCCTCAGGCATGGCCATGGCCTTTCTTAATGCAAAGTCACTGTTTGTCAGTAATGCAGATCTGTGACACCCCCCTCCCCATCACTGACTGTGCATTGCTGCTGTCTGGTCCACCCCTCTACTGTGCAACTACACTGCAGCTGGGGCAGTGCCCTGACCCTCCTTCAGCTCAGCAGGCTTTTTACTACTCGTTTCTGTACAAGCAGACAGCCACCAAGCAAAATTATGGACTTCGTTTCTTGGCTCCCTGCTAGCAGTTTGCAGAGTGAGCTGACCTGCATTTGGGCTCATTTGCTGTGTCCCCAGGTGGAGGCAGGGAGTTGGCTACCCTCTGTCTAACCCTTCCTAGCTCTATTGGCACAGGGACGTACAAGCACGGAAATAATTACAGCCACTCTGCTATCCAAGCTAGATAAAGGCCTTCACACAGGCTGTGGGAACCCTGTAGGTGCCTGAACAACATTCATCATCCATTTCTTCTATTGCCGTTCTCTGGTTGGCATCTGTTTGCTTTGAACACCACCTGCATCTTAGCACAGTTTATCAAGCATTACCTGGATTTGTGAGACAGTGAAAGGGTCTTCATTATCTTCCTTGCACAGGCTGTGCTTCCCCTTTACCCTGCCATTGCAGAAATAAATTCCCAGCAGCCTTGAGACCCCAGTTGGTTTCTGAAGAGTTCTTTCAGGAATCTCCCCACCTGCACTGCGTGGCATGCCTGCAAATCTTCATTTGCCCCATCTCAAAATATCCTGGAGCTCTGTGCTGTTAAGACTTCTAAGGTTCATAGCCACCTGCTCTACTCTATTATTCATGCAGTTAGACAGTTTTTGGTAGTTAATGCACAACAGAATGAGTGCTAGCCTACTGGAAGCTCTGGCTTTTCTTTCCTACACCCAGAAACCTATTTAATCCCTTTACATATTGTAATTCCTTATAGTAACCATGACCAACAGGCAGAACTCTTAAGCTTCCTTCTATCTGTCTATTCAGGCATTGCAATGGCACCCAAGAGTTAACCATGTGTTTTCCTCTGAAGTCCATCCAACACTATGTTGAAAGATCTGTGAAAGACCTGCTGACTTACTTACATTCCCCTCCTTTCCCTGAACCTCTCAGTGAAATGAGAGCTATCCTGTCCTTGCAGCCCCACAGGCTTTGTTCGCTAGCTCCTTGGTTGCAATTAATTTACCTAATTGCTCCATCATTCAATATTTGACCTTATAAATGACTTTATAGAGTAGTTTTGTGATGGACCCAGACCAGAGCCAGGCTGAGAAGTAGCCCAGGACTCAAAAGTGCCTAACCTCTGGCTTATACTATATTACCTTGATTGAGTTTCCCTTTTTGATGAAGAAAATCTGGTCGTGCTGTGTGCTCAGGATAGATTACCATCCATGTCCCCCTCCTCTAGTACCTCATGGCAGCAGCTAGAGCTGGAAGTCAAGAGAGCTCACCCAAAAAGCTTCACTCGGCCTTTGGAAGATGCTGTCATTGTGCCATCTTCCTCCACGGTGTATTCAGCAGAGATGTTGTCCTGAAGAAAAAGGCCTTCTGGATCCTTCTTGGCCAGGGCATACCATTTCCCTGCATACTAACATGAAAGACTATTAATATCTGGATTAATCACCATGGCAAGATTAGCACAAAAGCATTTTTGTAAACATAGTGGCCTTCTAACTACCCATTGCCTAGCCTATGGAGAAAGTCTTAGTTTGGGTGGGTATATAGCACACAGGTCCTGCTATGTCATCTGATGAATCATTGCCTCTGTGCCAGGAGGAGTAAGTCTAGCAGTTCTGCCCTTCTGTGTGCATGTACTCGTTGTATTCCTGTCACAGTGACCCCACACTGAAAGCTTCTCCCATCCCAAGATGCCTGCTGGGAGTCAGGCCGGTTCTTCCCTGTTCCTATTCAGGCTCCTGCTTTTCCATGGAAGATGCCATCAACAATACCAAATTGCAGCCACAAAGACCTTAGCAAGATGGCTGGAGACACTCTTGTGGCTGCTGGGGGCACAGTTGATCTCTGATGGTGAAAAGAGTCTACCCAGTGAAGCAGAAAGCGATGAATCTGTGCACTATGAAGAGGAAAGGATGTGTTGAGGAGACTAGCAGCAGGAGAAATAAAATGAGATTTAGGGGAAGAAAATTTCTAGGAAAAAATGGGTCCCTGAAAATGTACAAGCGGTATCTAGTAAAATGAAAACAAGATCTAAACAGGTGACTGACAGACAGGAAGGCCCTCAAAAGTTAGCATTATTAGTAGGAATATTGAGGAAAGCAGAATTTAGTTGTGTTAAATTTGGTTCTTCAGTGAAGCTAATAGATCTGTTTGGCAAGTTACATGCTTAAGTCTGAAATAGAGTCTGTAATTCCCAAATACAGGAGCCTGAGAAAAACTTCTACTTTTTAAAACTGGGATGTTCCCAAAGCTCCCCCCAGACATGGGTTTGTTTCCAGCAAAGCCAATCTTGTACAGAGGAAGTGCTGGCCCCAACCCAGCTGCAACTGGAAGTGATGTTTGCTGAGGGACAGTCAAAATAGGTACAGGCACACCTCTCTGGACCTTTCCAACACCAAGTTAGCCCTGATTCCCTCCTCAGAGGCAGGCAGATTAAATGCTGTGTTTAAACAAGAGTCAGTCTGTGTTCAGGATAGTCAACTAGATAAATTTTCAGTTTGCTATGACTCCCTGGTGGTGGATGCAAATCCCCCAGGGCCTGTGTTTGGTCTTTCTTTCTGATGGGGATCTAAATTGTTTCATTCATGGGACTACTCAAAGCTGAGATCTCTGCTGAGCTTCGAGCTGAGAGAAGATGACATCTAACAGAATAACATCCCTGACTTCCAAGGCTGGTTTTACCGTACTGCTCAGAAGGTTAAACAGTAGTGAGAAAAGCAAACTACAGGAACAGCATCTAAGAGACAGCATACGAAAGAAGTTCTTGGTGAGGAACCCCTTTAGATTAACACAACCCATAACCTGGCAAAACAGTTTATATATGAAGCTTCTTCACATAGACTGTTCAAGTAACCATAATTACCCTTTTTGGATCAAAATTGTCTTTCACAGAGAAAGACTCCACTGCACAGGTCTGAGCTAGGCTATATTCAACAGTGGAGAAGATCGAGGCCAGGAAAACATACTGTGCGTATTTCATTCTGCAAGACAAAAGCAAATGTGGGGTTTTATTTCATGCAGTAGACGTGGGTAGCTAGTGCTGTGCCTACGGATACATTCCCCTTGTTTTAAAACCAGTATCTTTACATGCTGAGTAGACTACCAACTCCTTCACTGAGAAACCACTGGGTCATTGTAGTGCCTAAATCCAGCCAAAACTGAGCATCAATGGCAATTACTTTGCAAGAGTATTTTGCTTGCCAGTAGTAGTATTGCAGTTCATGATATTTTTACGTTATAAATCAAGCCAGACTCTGGATAAGGTTGGTAAGAATTGATAAAAATTTGAAATTTTTTGAATTTTTGTTTTCACAAGGAGAATAATGTTCTGATGAGCTCTGGTAAAGCACTGCAGGTTATAAGGACGTTGTTTCTAATTATTTCATGGTGAGTGTCCTTTTTGCTTTCAAGCCAGCAAAGCTGTGCTCTTTATGACCAGTTCTCATCACCAAAACAGGCTCTTCCTAGCTGCCTGCTCTAATGGCAAAATACATCTTGGTATTGTCTGCCCTCAGACCATTCCCTCTACCAACATGACAAATAATATTCAATTTCTAGAGGCTTGACCTGCCATTGCAGCACAGCCACAAGCTGGCCATGACTTTATTTGTCTCCTCCGGTACCCCAGCTCACTTGTTTCTCACAGTTTGGGACTAAAGCAACTGCATAGACCTTCTTGCAGAGTGTTTGACCCTAAATACCTGTTCTGATGCCAAGATAAAGCACAGTTACCTGAAACTTGCTTGTAGCATCCAAGCTGAGCTACCAACCCAGGACTTCCAAACACCTGAGCAGCTACTCTGTTCCCAGCTGCTGCCATGCAAGCTGCACTTCCCCCCTGCAAGAGATGCTAATCTGGCCCGCCTCTGCTGAAGAGAGACCTACCTGTTGGGGCAGAGATGTTGGAGATCCCTGAGACTACTCTGCTTCAGTCTTTGGGCTGCAGTCAGCAGGAGAGTTTTGTGTCAATTGCCCACCAGCTGCCTTTAAATAATGAATCTGCAAAGTCACTAATTGGTTATTTTTGCTCATGTGCCTGAATAAAACACTTAATCTTGGATAATCCATTATGTAAAAACCAACCGTAATCCTCACACTGGTGGGTCTGACTGCTATACTAATGCAAACACAGCTTTTACATAATGGAAAAACCTGCCCAGAAAGCTAATAAGTCTGCTGATGTGATTGTACCACACCTTTGTGTCATTGAAGTCTTTCTGCTTCTAACACGTGTTAGGAGAATAAGCACAGAGTATTAACCGGAGAAACTCATGGACTATACGTACTCATTTGCATAGGCACATGTTCATATTTGACAACTTGCATGGGGCAGATATATAATTAGCTCTTCCAATATCTGCATCATCAAATTAAGGTGATCCTTGCAAGAGTAGAAAGATGTTATGATTTATCTACTGGAGGAAAAAAACAGTGCAAAAACAAAGGTTTTTGCCTTTGTGTTTGCATCAAAATCTTGGAGTCCCCAGTTCTCCAGTGCACTGAAACATCTTTATACACATTCTTCCCGGCTCATTTTGTCAATGTTTCCAGTTACATAAATATTATAGCTCTCTCCTTCCCAAGATGTTCTTCCTAGAAGCCTTCCATGGGGATGCAATAAATCACAAAAAGCTTAGAAGGCAGAAATGGCTAGAAAAACATTTTTGGTGTCAAACTGTTCCTGACATTCTTACAATTCCCTCAAGTGCCCAAAGAATTTCCCCAACTGCAAAGGCTGCCCATGTACTCTTTCTACCTAGGCTCACCTGGGAGATTCAAGACTTCAGATACTCATCTAGGAGCTGCCAGCACTGGTAGTTACTTCTTTCACTAGGCTGCTGGATGCTGGGGAGCCTTGGACATACCCACTAGGGATGACTCTATAGTTCCTACAGAGTAAGCCCAGGGAGTCCTGAACGTCCTGGTACTGATCCAACAATCTGGACATTCAGAGTAAGGCTAAAGCCTTCTGGATGTGTTGGACTTGCTGCAGAGATCACTTACAGCCGCTTGCCCAGGAACTCCTGAACAGAAGCATGCAACCTTGCCCTGTAGCTGGTGTGAACTGCATTGCTTTCCAGGCAGCTTGTTGATGGTTGCCCATTATCTGGGAAAGACAGTCCTTGCTTGCTGCCAGAGGGAACTTTGATTTGGCCTCTGTGCAACTTCCACTTACACTTTAGAGGGAGGCAATGATACTTTGCATGTGCATGTCTGGTGGAGGGACTGACCGTACCCTGTTCATGCCATCTGCGTGGCTTCAAAGGCAACCTGGGCAAGTTCACAGGGGAGTGACATGCTGGTAACTGGGACAAGAAGGTGAGAGCACCCATCCCAGGCCAGGGGTAACCAGGAGCAAGTGCCACGGCATGCCCCCTCTGCCTGACGGAGGGACTGGGTGCAGCCTCCATGCTCTCCTCAGCCACGGTGGGGCCATGCCATCACATCCTGTGCTCTTCGCTCTTTGTAAGTGGCTTTCTTTGGGACAGGTGGAACACTTTGGGGCTGGTCAGTGTTATGCACAATGACCCCTTCTTCTCCCTGGGCATTCTGTCTGGGTTTATCCAGGGACACCAAGACCTGCAGGTGTGGGGAGATGGCACACACCCAGCTGCTGCAACGAGGTACCAACTGCCTCATGTCCTGGGCAATAGGGATCTACTTGTCCTGCCTGGACCCCTTGGCCTGATTTTCTAGAAGGATGTCAAACAGCCATTTGCCGAACTAATCCTTCACCTACAGCTGTCTGCTAACTGTATGTACCATGCTCCAGGGATGAGCAGGGTCCCTGGAAGGATTGAACAGGGCTGGCAGCCTCCTGCACCAAGTGTGAAGATAACCAGTTCTGTTCATTCAGGCACAGCTCATTAGCTATGGCCTTGCGCACACACTGTACTGCCTGCCTTCAGCTCCCCTGGCACATGCTCCCTGTACTTGCATCTTCTTCACCAGCAGCATTTACTTCATTTAGAAGTGAAAGGAAAATCAACAGAAAGCCCATTTATTTTCTTTAAAATCATAGAATCATAGAATCGTTTAGGTTGGAAAAGACCTTTAAGATCATCAATCCAACCTAGCACTGCCAAGTCCACCACTAAACCATGACCCCAAGCACCACATCTACACGTCTTTTAATGCTTGGCCACTTAAAGAATGACATAAAAAGTAACTTCGTAAACTGGTTTTTGAGGGCTGTGTGCCCACTAGATTTTCAAAGGAGATTCCCCTGACACTGAATCCAAGTGCAGAAATGTGCTTTTCCACCCTGGCACAGGGATTTGAGAGAGAATGAACTGAAGTGTTTTCTGTAAATTAGAAGGGCTTCAAGACATTTATCACTTTGTCTGTTTCCAACAAAACAGATTAGTTTATGTCCATGTGAGACATAGGTGACACTTGAAGCCATGCTTAGGTGACCACTTAATCCCCTGGGGATTAGAGACATGCTAATAATAGCTAATCACAGCACAAGATTTTGGTTGGTGACAATAACATCTGTCACTGCATTATTTGCTGTTTGGAGCAAGAAGAAAACAAAATCAAACTAACTTTCATTTTCACAGTATTATGGTATTTTGTGCTGGGCATAGAAAGAAAAGGGAGGCATTAAAGTGTTGAAGCGTATTCCTGGGCCTGTTAAATTTGATGTAACATGAAATGGATCTTATAAAAATAAAGGTGCACTGCAGGGTCTGGTTGTCAAAGAAGATATCCAAGGGCCTGTTCCAGACCTGCTCATCAAAACTGTCTATTTTTTAATAGAAGACATGGCCTGACCAAATACAACATATTCAGTGTGCTGCACTCAGCACAAGAGTAACTGGTAGTTTTAATGGCCTGCAGTAAAACAGGTATGCAGATGAGATGATTAATCTTATCTTCTGCCCTATCTTATGAAATACAGCAGCAGCAGTTTTGGATTTCCTACCCCTAGCAGCCCCCCTCCTTCTGCCTTGTTATTGGAATAAGCATTGGGTAAACTGCTCTGGGAATTACTGCAATTGCACTGCCAGCTCAGATTTAGCAACATGTGCTAGCTCAGCAGCCGATGGCACAGTATGAGATCTCTAAAGAGCCTCCTGCATCAGGCATTAAGTTCCCTGCTGTCCAGCAGGCAATCAAGTTGTGGGCTTGTTTACCAGGGAGCCGGAGAACAACTACATGTAGATGTATTTTGAGTCGCCCTTGGCAGCTGTTGTAGTGGTTATTGCACGGTAAGTCGTGACGATTTCCTGCTCTAGCTTTAGATCTAATTCATGCTGCTGAGGACACAGGGCTTCCTTCTGAGGTGTCACCCACATGTGCCTGCATTGCTGGAGGACCCACATCACAGTCCCAGGTCTGCCAAGGACCGAGAGGACAGCGATAGTCTGCTCTACTCCCTCACCAGGGTGAGAGGCAGGAGAAATAAGGCTTTCCCATAGTGGCACACCACATGAAGGCTGTTGGCTAAGAGTTTCTTGGTTTCTGTGACTTCTGCTCAGAAATGCTGATCTTTTCCAATGAAGAGAGTGATACAACACAGATGGAGAGGAAATTGTTTGAAGTTTGCCCCTCTGTGGTTCAAGGGTAAGGTTCTTCGGTGTGTTACATCATTAGATAAAAAGCATCATAAATCACTACTGCTTTATGATTTTCAAGGCGCCATTCAAATACCTCAAATGACATAAACTAAAAGGCACCCTTCCCTTCTGAAGTATGATAGTGTCATTCTTGCTAAACGTATTGACTAACAATTGGTAGAGCAGGGGCTCACATGCTCCCGTGCGCACAACACATCTGAGACACAGACAGACACACGTCCCCCCAGTTCACGAGCAAAAAACAGGAGGCTGCTCAAAGCATGAAGGATCGAGGAGCCTCAGCTCCTCTGCCATGATGGGTAGCCAGCTCAAGGGGAATCGTTTTCTCAAGGCCTTTGTCAAGGGTTTGGCAGCAAAACTAAGTTACACCCCCTCTCTCAAACCCTTCAGCATCTTGCTGTCTTGGCAGCACAGGGTGAATGCAGAGCTGGCTAAAATCTCTCCTGAAGTGGGATTTTAACATACAGGGATCCACTGGCCAAAGAGGCAGATCAGGTTTTGTGCCATCTCCTGGTTTCTGCACAACTGTATGGATGATGGTTGCAGCTTGATCAGTGAGCTGCTGGATTTCACTTTCCAAGCCATGACATTTTCCCTAATGGCCTGTTGCTACTCTGTACCAAAAGACCATCCAGGCCTCAGGCAACCTGATGAAAAAGAGACCTTTTTTGACCATCAAATAAAGAAGTGAACATTTTGGTTGTTGTTTTCTAGTATTAACTACTAGGCATACTGTTGACATGTCTATATACATATCTAGTATTTACTACTACTGAACTGGTCCATTTGCAGACGTTGACAGGTTTATTCATTTTAGTCGCAACGTTTGTTTAAAGATACAATATTTGTATTTTCATGCCAACCTACCAGTTCCTGGAGGGCAGAGATCAGCCCTTTCTGCACAGGAAGCCTAGAGAGCCTTCCTTTACAAACTGGGCAAGGAGGGTGGCATCTGCAAACATGAGGGGAGTTCAGCTGTCTGAGGCTAAGGTCTTTGTACCTGAAGACAGCTGTGGGGTATCTCCATGGCCTGATCCTATTCTTCTCTTGGGGGAAGGCAGAAGGAAGGGGGTCATTCCCTTGAGGCAGCCAGTACCCCCTGTCATATTTTGCAGTGAGTTAACAGACTGGAGCTTATTTAATCCTGTTATTCCCAGGATGCCTTCTAAAAACAAGAGGCTCAGAGGGTATGTGAATATCCCTGAAGGTGTAAATCAGCATGTAGTATTCTAAATCTGGTTCCTTTTCTGTTCATGCAACAGAAGCAGCTTAACACCAAAAATGTAGGAATAAATCTAACTTATTGCAAAGCATGATGTAACGCCAGAACATATGTCCTCCATTACATATTGCAGACAGT